TTGATGAGTAATAAGCCCCCTGAATTTCCTGGAATCTGTCTATATGACACACTATAAAAAAGTGAATGAAAATAAAGGCAGGATGCATGGATGTGTTAACCATATTAGAAAATAATTTTATCTTTGAAATAACTAGGTAAAACCTTTAATGTTGAGAATTGTCTCTGTCATTGAGGAGGTATTCCTATAAAAATATTCTGATGCCATCAAATCATTGCTATCTGGCTCACAGGATGACTTTAAAGTTATTTCTAGTGATTAGATGATCAAAACTGTAAATGTAAAATGTAAAGACCTGACTTTGGCTCAAAGTCTAATCTATAAGCCTATTTGCCCTGGACACATCTGCCTTAATTGGACATAGTGAAAAAGCACAACTTGAATGGAAACTAACTAGTTATGTGACTTATGCTTTCTTGACCAGTTTCATCGTATGTTAGGTGAGAATAAAGATATTATCAGTTCTTCTTGCTTCACAAGATTATTAAGAGTATTATATAAAGAATGTGTATTATAAAGCATTGCATAAATCATGGTTCTCTTATGATTGCTGGTCTATCTTTAGATCTACATGTTTTTAGGAAAAAGTCTGCAACATTTTTAATCACACACAATCCAATTAATTTAAAATAAAATAGTCAAGCAAAGAGGAAACATCTCACCGAAGTCTCCCTAGACCCAAAGATTTTAAGAGAAAGCAAACCAGCTAAATGATGACCAGTTTGTGGGCCTATTGAATCTACTTCCACTGGTGGGAGTGGTAAACCAAGAGTGTGATAAGGACTGATGAGAATGAGTCACAGTAGAAGAGAGGGGACTTGTATTTCTGACATAAAAATAATTATAGAATTTAATTGCTTAGTTAGAACTTTGGTGATTATGTAACGTACATCTGTTCGAGTGCCCTAGAATCCCCCTTAAACATAGTGGGCATTCAGTGTCTCTGGAATGAATGAATTTGCTGTATGAGTAAATCAAATTCTTCAAGGTGACTTACCAAAATACATAATGTAAGTAGAACCAAGACCAAGCCCAAGACGAGCAAATTCCAACCCAGAATTCTCTACATGCTGCCTTTTGTTGATGCAGGCTATGCTAGCACTGATTTTAGAAAGATGTAACTGAATGAACTGGGCACCTTAGCCTATTTCTTTTCACTAAGTTGTAGTTTTTTGATTAAATGCTGATAAGATCCAGAATCTGGTAAGAACATCCCTTTTAATTACCATGAAGAGTTGACATCTACAGAGATAAATCTAGATTCAGTAGTTAGGGTAAATGAAAGGTTGGATGTGACAGTAAGACTAGACTCCCCCAAAAGCCTCGATTCTCAGCAGCTGGGAAGGAGCAGTGTCTAGGCTGTAAGATCTACACATGGGAAGAGAACGGTGAGGTCAACATCTCTAGAGTTCAGTTCATGCACATTCTGTTTGACAGTGACTCATGTTCATACTATTTGGTTTTGAACTATTTTAAAAATATATATAGATACAAATACATAAAATGGAAATTGTATATATATTTATTTTTTAAATGCTATACATAACATTATAGTAAAGTACATCATTACTATTTTTTTTTCTCACGATTGGTGCTATTACTCATGCTCATCCAAGGAGAAAGGGTGCAACAAGCTGTTTTACTCCCAGCAGTAAACATTAACGGGAAAGACTGCCTGTACGCTCAGCAATGAGAATCCACGATCTTATCGATAGTTCAGTGCAACCAGTGGGGTTATGCCTCACTTTATGCCACTTATTTACTGCCTGACAACTTTTCTTGAACCATAAAACGGTACAAGTGACAATCCTAGATCTGTCTACCACAAAGACTTAAAAAATCATATAGTTTTGGAAATGAGTAAATACTTAGAGCTGATTGATAATACACTATATGAAAACTTACTGTAGTACTGAGAGTGAAACTTGCAGACTTACTTTGTGTATTTGAAAAAGATATACTGACAATTAATGAGCTAAGCATGAAATGCAAGAAGTTAGAAGACTGCATAATTAACACAAAGAAACTAGAAAGAAGAAAGAAAATTTATAGTAAGAGCAGATATTAAACATAATAGAAAACAAAGATGCAATTAGATAAAGCCTAAAGTTGTTTCAAACCTCTGGAAAGCTTGATCAAGAGAAAAAAATACAAAACTAAATAAAATAAAGAATGCAAAAGGGATTTCACTACGGATTTAGTGAAGATGAAAAACATATTTAACAACGGGATGGATTACCTAGCAAATTGAACACATGCATGTCGTAAAACCAGCAATTCCACTGTGGTACAATCTCCAGAAAAACTTGCACACATATCCCACTCAAACATGTCCAGAATTCAGCCTTTGAGGAGGAATAGAGAGGTCTAGATTGTTCTGTGGCAAAGGATGGTCTCTCCTTGGTGACTGCTACTTAGAATTGGAGTTGATATAACAGCAGAAGCAATTAGCCAAAGTTCTGGGACTACAGTGCCCTATGGTTGTAATGGGTAAGTGCTAACTTGGCCTCCCAAGAGCTTGGAAACAGCAGGAAAGGGGGCTGCTGTACACTGGAAGGAGGAAACCCTCAAGAGTGCTGTTTTCTGAGTCCTCCTCTTTGGCAAGGTGAGAAGTGGCAAGATGTTGAGACAACAGTCATCACTGCACTGCTGTGATTTAGGTTGAGGAACCATGTAAGCACATTTCCTACTTGAGGATTTGTATTCCAGAGATGGAGTAGCTACAGTTACACTTTTGTATATAACAGCAGAAATGCTAAGCGCTGTTTGCAAAGGTGTCCTTTCCTCCCTGTAACTTTACTGAGTGAGAAATTACTATTTAGCTACATTTTGATGAAGCAACAAAGACAGTGTGTCATTGGTGTGCTGCCATTCTAAGAGCAGATTTTTGAAATCTGTATCTTCTCCCTTTAAGGATAAGATGAGGTTTATTTTTTCAGGGCTTTAAAACCTTTTTCTCAGTCATCATTTCATATTGTGGACTACCACTCAAAATACACCATAACTCTTACACTGCAAGAAATTCTGCAAAAAGTGGACTCTTCTCTTGTATGTGAGATTGAAAATCCAAAAAGTTTTGCAAATTTCTACCAGAAACAGTATCATCTCTTCTAATAGTGCACAAGCAATTTTTTTCTCTACTCTGCAATATGGGTGTTAAGCTGCCTAATTGTAAAGTCCTTGATCTTAGCTCCTTCCTTTAGCACTTAATTGATTACTACCCTCAATGACTTTATAGACTTTCTTTGGATTTTTTGCTAGGTAGGTATTTATTTACTTTCTAAACTCAAAATTACTTAGAGACTAATATAAACTGCAGTTAGGTATTTATTTACTTCCTAAACTCAAAATTACTTAGAGATAAATATAAACTGCAGTTTGTCAGTTTTGTCTTTTTTAGTTAAAATGTTGCTATTGTTAACACATTTTTTCTTTTCATTTCGTGTTCAATAAATAGTTCTATTTGGGGTATAGATGGCAAATTCAATTCCTCAGCTAGACTTAGAAGAACAATGTAGCATATAATGTTCTGACAAATAGGGCCATGAAATTTAAAAATGATCTTTAAGAATAGGATATTTTTCTCAAAAGTAGCTTAAGGGAAATTATTTTCATAGTTCCAAATCTTAAAGCATCCCCAGCAAATAAATGGAGTTTGACATATTCTACACATGTGTAGATTTTTATAACTTCGTTTGTAAATCTGGAAGATCTCCTGAACAGCAGAGACTTTCAGGCAAAGGCTAAATGAAACCTTGATGAGAATATTATAGATAGAATTTAGGCATCAAATGTGTGATTCAATTAATGATCTTGAAAGTCACTTCCCTCCCTGAGAATTTCTATCGTTAGATTTATTAGCATAGTGGAGAATTAACTTGAGGACCTGATGGTCTACTTTGACTTACGAATTTAGAAGACTTACTCATACAAATACAGTTTTTTTTCCAGATACCCTATTAAATTATTATTATAAAGTTAATTGAACAGTAACCCTGTACAAAAACAGTATTAAATTTAATTTGCCTCCATGACCAGCACATTGTGGACAGTCTCTTTTATGTGTGGGTAAAATGAACTATCCTGTTTTGAGCTGGTGGGCAAGAGAGCCCCCTTGAAAGACCCTGACTGACCGGATCATTCAGTCAGCTGTGGTAAACCCTTCCTGTTAGTGAGGAGAGGTAGTTTGGCAGTTAACTGCAGGTGCCTGGGAACCTAGCCTCCATCCCTGCCTCTGATTCTGCAGGTGGGGTAAGTCTTTCATACCTTTCTGGGTCTTTGATGCGCCTTCGCGGGCAGACTGTTTTAAAATCTACCTCACGATGACTTGTAACTTGTGCATCTTTAAAAAATAAACTGTGATACCTGGAGAAGTCAGTTCTCCCTTAAGGGAAAATTTTCATAGCTTTATGTGTCAAGTTGGACTCAACTTGAGTTGTTAACTACTGTGGCATCACTGAGTTTTGGAACAAAGCAATTGATTCAGGATAAACTATTTCAAATTTTAAAAAACAATTAATTTATTTTTCCTTTCACCCACAGGTCTACCCACGGATAGCGCCGGCATTTTGGCACTACCTGCGGGTAGAAGTGAGTAGCGGGTACTTGAATTCTCCCACCCTTGCGCCTTGCACTCTGCTGGTGTGGTCTGATCTGATGCGCACATTTTGCTCCCGGGGCAGCTGCCATTCTGTGTGAACGTGCTTTCACGCCACCACCATTCCTTAGAGTTGGATCAGAAATCCAAATCACCAAAACTCCTAAGTGCAAGTTTATATAAGATAATCATCTTTCTTACTAAATTTCTGAATCAAGACCATACCATATGCATCATAATGATAAATAACTAAATGCTAAATTTTGGAAAACCATGCTTACACCTCTCTTTAATCAGTATTTTTTATATTCAGAGCATAATTCCTCAGCTTAACTTGAGACGGTTTCTAGGAAAAAGTGGAATAATTCTGCTTCATTTCCTTTCTCCTCTTCTCTATCCCCAGGAGCATGAGCAGCTCACCTACTCCTCCACGAGGTCCAAGGCACCCAGTGTCATCATCACAGGCCTCAAGCCGGCCACCAAGTACATATTTCATATCCGAGTGAGGACTGCAACAGGATACAGTGGCTACAGTCAGAAGTTTGAATTTGAAACAGGAGATGAGAGTAAGTTTTACACAAACATATAAAATAAGATGTTAATTTAGTACTATTCCAATCTGACCTGATAGTTAAAAATCTAATGTCCCCAGTTGTGAATAGTCTCATCAAACAGGATTCTGTTCATGTAAATACTCATATAGTCATTTAAGGTTAATGTTTTGGTGCTATCATTAAATACCTCCATGAAATGCCTTACTCTACCACAATTGTAGTGTGGCCCAAATACATCTCTTTATGCAGAATTCATCACTCATGCTATAACATAGAGTCTCAATGGGCAGTGTTAGCCTAATTGCTTGCTAGTCTTGGCATCATAATATGATACTAATGAAAACTTGGAAGAGAATAAAGCCATGAGCAAATGATTTTAGCAGTTAGTTCAAAATTGTGCAGCTTTGGCTTGTTAGATCAAAAAAAAAAAAAAACAGTGGTCAGGAGAAAAACTCCACTGAAATGTACATTATAAGTTTAAATATAGACACATGGGCTTAATTAGAAACTCAAATTAGTTCCATAGCCTCGACGTGTTGAAAATCAAAATGGGAGACAAAGGGAGTGAGGTGTTCCAATGTCATGTAACAAAGCCTTTGAAATGTCTTATTTAGTCTGAATCCTGCTCTACCATTGAATTTGTTTTTTTGCTTTTAGAAATCTATCTTACTGCTAACTTTGTAAAGATAATATGGGTGGCTTTTGCAATGTTCCTCTATGGAAAAATGTCCAAATACCTAATTATAATAAAAATATGTCCCCATCATTGCTAAAATACCCATATTTATATAAGAATTCAAGAATAGTAAATATATTATAAAAATTCTTTATAAATAACAATAATAGCTACCATTTATTGAGCTTCTAATAAGTGCCAGAAATTATGTATTTTATATATATTATTCCATTTAAACCTTTCAACATCCAATAACACCAGTATGATTTTTCTAATTTTACTCATGAGAAAAGAGAATTCTAGAGAAATAGAGCTATTTGTTCAGATATATGCAACTAGTAAGAAGCTAAGCTAAAATTTGAAACTGAGGGCTACCTTTTTTTTTTTTAAAGATTTTATTTATTTATTTGAGAGAGAGAATGAGAGAGAGAGAGCAGGAGAGGGGGGAGGGTCAGAGGGAGAAGCAGACTCCCTGCCGAGCAGGGAGCCCGATGCGGGACTCGATCCCGGGACTCCAGGATCATGACCTGAACCGAAGGCAGTCGCTTAACCAATTGAGCCACCCAGGCGCCCCGAGGGCTACCTTTTTCCAAGGCCTGTGCTCTGAACTACTCCACCATCATGCCAAGTTCTTTCATTTGAATTATTAAAAAGTGCTAATGGTAAGATCATGAAACAGGCCACAATTCCTCTAGTTTGTCACTCCCCCAAAATGAAGCTGTTTGGATTTCAAATTCTGTGATGGAAGGAGTGTTGTCATTTTTACATTGATGAACAGTATCAATTCATAAGAATGCCCTCATTGCAACTATATCTCACTAAAAAGTGGAAGAGTACCAACATAATTAAGAAGGCACACAGCTTGGGAAGAGAGAGTAAACTAATGAATAAAAAGAACACTTATAACCTGGATGTGTAATATTAGTGATGATGATTTATAATCCTGCAGGAGACTATTGGCTTCTCAAGCTAGAGATGAAATTATTGGTAGTAGAGTGTAATTATCAAAAAAAACATAGCTCCATAATTAAGAACAATATAAAAATATTCAAAGTGCCATCCCTGCTATGTCCTGCTGACTCTTTCTCCCCTGCTCCCATGTCAAGACTTTGCCTTCACGTAGAGCCAGAGAATGCAATTCAAGGAAAGTTTGGTCCTGGGAAGAGTCCTGTCACTGTGTTGTTCTGGCTGTGTACCGCATCCCTGCATCTCACTTCTCTTACTTTCGTTCACAGATGAAGAAATTTATCTTTTTTAAAAGTATGACATTTTTAGGGGCGCCTGGGTGGCTCAGTCGTTAAGCGCCTGCCTTCGGCTCAGGTCATGATCCCAGCGTTCTGGATTGAGCCCCGCATTGGGCTCCCCGCTCGGCGGGAAGCCTGACCCTCCCCCCTCCACTCCCCCTGCCTGTGCTCCTCTCTCACTGTGTCTCTCTCTGTCAAATAAATAAATAAAATCTTTAAAAAAAAAAATTATGACATTTTTGAGTATTACATCATTAAGTCAAAAATATATTCTCAGACAAATTTATAGGGCTAAATCTAGATAAGTCATTTGTGTTTATCTGGGACTTCTAGAGAAAACAACCTAGTCTAATTAAAAAAAAAGTTCTGATCTAAATATGAAAAAATTAATTTGGTTTAACTCTAAATTTCAACTCATTGTACTTTCAGGACTAGAATTCTTTCTGTTATATAAAAGATACATACTTTGAAATTCCTTATCAGAAAAGATCCCATGCTCACCAATGACCCAGTATAATATTTATTCATCCAACAAAAATGTATAGGACACTTAATATGTGCCATACTCTGTGTGAGGTTCTGGGGATTAAAAAAGTAATAATAAGACCAACAGCTTTCACATAATTCATAGTCTAGATTTGTGGGAAGAAAATGAAAATTTAAATAAAAAATACAAGGTTAGTGACATGTAGTATCATACAAATATGCAAAGGGTGCTCTAAGAGCATAGAGAAGAAATCCTAGTTTAGCATGAATGGGTCATGAAGGGGTCAGTTGGAAGGTGAGAAGATGGGGCTCATTCTTGAAAGAGGAGTAGTAAAAGAATAGCAAAAACACTGAGGCCTGAGATAGCATGAAAAATTTAAAGAACAGAAAATAATTTGGTGTGGCTGCAGTGAGGAGACAAAAAGGTGAAATGGTGGGAACTGAAGGAAGAGAGTTAGAAAGGGCCAACATGAAGGTGCTCTTTTGGCCCCGCGAAAGATATTGAGCCTTCTGATGATACTGAGGAGCTGGGAGAGGGTTTTGATTAGGGAGTAACATGACCAGTAACAGGTGCAAGACCCTATACTGAGCAATTTACACAATTCATCTTTTTAATTCTGACAAGATTATTTCTCCTTTTAGAAACATAAGTAGCTTTACCAAAATCTGGTAATCGGTGAGTGGAGGTGCAGGATTAGAACCCTAGAACCATCTGACAATGGCCACAGCAGACAGCAAAAAACATGTTCTGAATCACTGATTCATAAATGACATGAAAGACAGAATGTCTCAGAAGAATCTGAAAAATGTGTTTGTCTAAACCTGGAATTTGGGTAAATAGAATGGCTCCCAAGTCAATTTACAGCCTAGAGGGAAAATCATTTAAAGGATCATTTTTTATCTGGTTAGTTTTAAATTGCATTTTCAAAGCATGCTGTTTATATCCAGAAGAGAATTTCAGTGAATGATGTCATAGTAGGATATGGTCAGGTTTACTATAAATTCAGGTATATAATGATATGAATTCCAATCTCCAGCATAGGTCTTTTTCTCTTCATACCCTCCTAGCTCATCTTTTAATTTTTATAGCTTTTGTTTCCTGAGTAATACCTGAACTAAGTTCTCTCTTGTGCATTCTATTTAATTAACTTTACAATATATGCATAGAGATGGGGGTGGGTTGGGGAAGAGAGATGAGGTTCTCTCATTTGATGGTCTGATTCAATTTTTTTTTTAAGTAAGCAAAGTGAAATACTTTACAATTTAATTCTCTCTAGCCATATCTGTTTTACTTGCTTCAACTTTTAGTTTGCCAACAAGACAGTAATATAAAATATGAAAAAACTCCTTTTCAAAATCATAGTATTCTGAACCCACAAATGTTCTACAAATATAGTGGCATCTGAATAACAATCACAGTTACTGCTCTTGCTCTTCCAGACCAGCAATTGGATTTTTTTCCAGAGTCAGATTATGTAGTGGAAACTGGCTAAACAAATGTAGAGATCAGTAATTATGATTGCTAGCACTATGAAAAGAGCCTACTTGGCCTAGACCTGTTGGTTTCTGCTCTCCCCAAGTCTACAGAATAACCTCATTACATATGTATATATGGAGAGATAAATAGATAACAAATAGATAGACGGGTAGATATAGGTAATTGATTGATAGATATATACATGAATAGGTAGATAATCACTCCTGTATAATCACAAAAGACTTTTCTGTTTTAATGCTGGTATTTCTTATGTCTGCTAATCTCTCTTTGACAAAGAATGTACAACTAAATATTATGTCCACTAACAGCATTTATTGAGTACCTATTGTATACTGGTCTTTTTATCAGGTACTGTAATTGATTCTCCCACCTTTTTAGAATAGATACAACAAAATTACAATAAACTACAGAATCAGTAGTAAGAAGGTAAGAATATATAAACATTCCATGTGGATCTTCTTGAGACAGGTGAAAGATCAGTGTCAGAAGCTAATATAAGAATTTTCTCAGTATTAAAGTGAAATTCGTATTAGGCGCAAAACTATCAAACACACCCACACAGATTAAGTACAGAACTTTTTGGCTTATATGAATGAAACAATAGGAAATTTTAACCACCTTATATTTATTATAATTTTGTCCTTATTCTCTGGAGAAAATGTGCTTCTTTTCAATGGAGAAAAAAATAACAATTAAAATTAAAAAGTTATCTGCATAGCCAGTACTATCCATATCCTTGCAAACTTCTCAAAAAAGATGTTTGATGTAATTTTTAGCAATAATAACATTACACCTACATTTTTTTAGAAAAAGAAATAAGAATAATTTAAAGAAGGAAGTTAAACATTTGGTTATTTAAAACACCAAGACTTTTTTTTTTTAAATTTATTTATTTGAGAGAGATAGAGAGAGAGAACTGGGAGGGTGGGGTGAAGGAGGGAGAATCCCAAGTAGACTCCCCACTGAGCACAGAGCCAGACACAGGACTCAAACTCAGGACCCTGAGATCATGACCTGAGCTAAAATCAGGAGTCAGATGTTTAACCGACTGAGCCACCCAAGTCCCCTAACACATCAAGACTTACCTAATATTCAAATGTATTTTAGA